GGAGAGAAGAAAGGAGGGAAGGAAGCAGGGAAGGAAGCAGGGAAGGAGGAGGGAAGGAGAGAAGGAGAGAAGAAAGGGGGAGGGAAGGAGGGAAGGGGGAAGGAGGGAGGGAAGGAAGGAGGGAAGGAAGGAAGGAGGGAAGGAAGGAAGAAGAAGTAGGAATGTTGTAAGATAAGATGGAGTTATGGGATGGTAAGAAAGCAATTTCAAGTATATTGTCAACTGTAGGGGAAAAAATTGTTATAAATACATATTATTAATAACAGTTATGAGATCGTATAATTGTGAATGTATATAATAAAATTTTCAAAAAAAAAACAGAACATCACAGCCATGGTTCTTCACAGGAACATTCAGTGTGGTCCTTGGCTTCGCGACTGCCTTGTTTAGCGACCGTTTGCAATTGGCCCCGAAATGAGAAAAAAACTAAAACTTTACAACTATCGAATTGTGATCTTGGCAGATCTATAAAACGAGGGAAGGCTAAAGTAAGATCGCAAGCACAGTTGTGATTTCACTTAGTGGCTTCTTAACAACCAAGTTCTTGGTCCCCCCATCGTGGCTATTAAATGAGGACTAAATCTTCCATGGTGGGGTTGCAGGTAGTCCTCGGCTTAACGACCGCAATTGAGCCCAAAATATCTGTGGCTAAGAAAGACAGTTGTTAAATGAGTTTAAAGCGGGATCTTTTGAGAACGGCCCGGGACGCGGGAAAAATTATGAAAAAGCGTGCCTTAGTTTTGCCTCATTTTGTGACCTTTTTTTGGCACAGTTGTTAAGTGAATCGTTGTGGTTGTTGAGTTAGCAGCACGACCGCAACTGAGCCTCGAATGTCTGTCGTTAAGTGAGACATTGGTAAAGGGAGTTCTGCCCCATTCGCCGACCTTTCTTGCCACAGTTGTTAAGTGAATCACTGCAGTTGTTAAGGCTCACGTGATCCCTTGTTGTGGCCTGACAAGCCGAGTCCATGGAGAAACAAGATTCACTTAACAACCGTGTTACTTGCTTAACAACCACAGTGATTCGCTTAACAACGGTAGCAAGAGAGGTCGTAAAATTGGGCCGAGCTCACTTTACAAACGTCTCGCTGAACAACAGAAATTTGGGACTGTGATCATGTTTCTCACTCAACAACCGCAATGATTCACTTAACAACTGTGCCCAAAAGGTCATCCAAACTCATTTAACAACTGTCTTCCTTAGTTTATCAGAAATTTTGGGCTCGTAAGTCGAGGAATTTTAAATTCCCTTTTTCCTTCTTTCAGTGAAACTTTGGAAGATTTCCAGCTTGTTGGAAAGCAACAGAGAGCGACCTTCCGCTAAATATGGATTTTTTAAATAATAAAACATCCTTTTCTAACCAAAGAAAAACCCCAAAAGCATAATTGTAAGCAATTGGGCTGTTTTTTTGCAGAGTGAAATGGGCGCATTTTAAATCTGCTTTATAGTCAAAAGTTTTGGCTTGGCAGATCTTGTCTGGGCTGGAAGCGAAGTCTTTTTATTGCGGTTTCTTTCTTTTATAAACAATTTATTTGGCGGCCCACCGCAGCACAGGAAGGGGATCGAAGATCTAAATCGCCAAATAAAGACAAATGTTTTGTTAAAAATCCAACAAGCTAAAAAGGCGACAGCCGATCAAGCTCGGAGAAATACACTCCCGTATTCATTAGAACAGGACGAACAAATTCACGGATTTAAAAAAATATATATTATTTGGATGGGAGACCACTCAGAAATCCTACAATGGCGGGCCAGGTGGGCGATTTAGGAAGAAACCCATTGCAAAACTTTGGCAAAGACCAAGAAAACTTTGTGGATTAATCCATGGAAACGTTCCAGAGGATGCTAGAATGATAATCCCAACCTGGATTCCCTTAAAAACTGCACGATTCCTTAAAAACTGCCACAATGGCAGGCGGTTGTAAAGCAGGGCAAGAGACTCATTTAACAACTGCCTTGTTTAGCAACTCCGGGCTCAATTGTTGTTGTAACTCTCGGGGCTTAAGAGTCACACTGTCGGCCGGCTGATCTCGGGAACATCTTAAAATGTTGTTTATTCCTTCCCGTAGCTAAGAAAACTTTCCGAGACTTTTGCCTTCTGTACTTAACAATCTGATCTGGCTCAAATCCAGAGTGGGGAGAAAGAAAAAAATAGGACTTAAATGGGATTTAAGAGCAGCTACAGGCTCAAAGTTCACTTCTCGTGAACATAACACCTGACCTTGGCCGAGGCACAAGAGATAGATCTGGGGGTTTATTTTATTTTATTTCATTTTATCAGTTGTAATGGAATATTATTATAATCTGAGATGCCCGAGGGAGGGGAAGGAAGAGATAAGGATTGCAAAATCACAAAAGGTTCCTACGGATGAATCATGCCTTCGGTTAACCCCTCAAAAACACAAAGTCCAAAGTTGGCCGAACTGCTGAAAGAAATTGTTAGATGGGAAGAGACTCACAGAATTGGAAGGGAATGGAATGGAATGGAATTTAATAGAATAGAATAGAATAGAATATAGAACATAATATAGAATATAGAATAGAATATAGAACAGAATATAGAATATAGAATAAAGAACATAATATAGTATATAGAATAGAATAGAATAGAATAGAATATAGTATAGTATAGAATACAGAATAGAATAAAATATGGAATAGGATAGAATAGAATGTAGAATGTAGAATATAGAATATAGAATGTAGAATGTAGAATGTAGAATGTAGAATGTAGAATGTAGAATGTAGAATATAGAATATAGAATATAGAATGTAGAATGTAGAATGTAGAATGTAGAATGTAGAATATAGAATATAGAATATAGAATATAGAATATAGAATATAGTATATAGTATAGAGTAGAATAGAATATGGAATAGGATAGGATAGG